AAACTAAATTGTCCTGTATGCACATCCTTCGGCGGGCTTATTTGGCCCCCTTATTTTTTCAAGCGTAACTTGCGTGTTCTAAATCACAGAACACGGAAACTGTACAGACAAGCAAGTCAACGCACGTCCTGTATGCACATCCTTCGGCTGGCTTATTTGGCCCCCTTATTTTTTCAAGCGTAACTTGCGTGTTCTAAATCACAGAACACGGAAACTGTACAGACAAGCAAAGTCAACGCACATCTAGTCGCGATTCTCCAAAAGGTGCAATCGAAAAAAATCAGACATTAACTAGGATAAAATGGCATGACTTTAGGCCCGTTTTAATGCTCCAAGGGGAAAGGACGTGACGTTGAAGAATCGAGAACTTGCGCATCATCATTCTATCTAGGTTTGTGATCCAAAATGGACCTTAGTGCCCTGCTGGTAGCTCATTTCGTGTCTTTCTAGTGGGTGGCATCAAAACCGAGAACGGCACAAAGCATAGCTTATTCAACCCCCCCTTCCTCCTTTTGATCCTCTTTGAAAGAAATCAGTTTTAGCAAACCGAAAAAATTTCCACTCCAGTTTACTTTTACTTTTAAAGAACACTAACAAGAATGGCCTTTTGGGAGCACGCACCCCCATAGGACGTGCCGTTCATTATCTAAGATGGTCACACCTTTCGTCCCCAGCCTAATTGGAGTTTGCCCTTTTCCACCCTTGACTCTCCGAGGAAGACTGCGAAGGCCAAACAAAGCAAAGTAGAGACTAACCGCGATTGGAGAATGAACTCAAGATAATTTACTGGTTAAGGCGCGAAACGGTTGACCAGAAGGTCTGTGATTCGAACCCCTGCTTCCCAGTTGCTGCTGCATAGGTCTGGACACTCTGGTGTTATCTCAACCTTTGTACTTTATTCGAGTTTATTCCATGTCCCGTAAGGCTACCGCAGTTCAGTGGTTACGGCGCAAATTTACTGACCGGAAGGTCCATCTCCTAACTTCCTCTGTCTAGGCTTGGGCAACCTGGCAGTATCCCAGCCCTCATGCTTCCTTCTGGTGGCATGCCAGTTGGGAACCGAAGGGGTGCTACAGCTGAACAATTATCATGTCTGATTGTAGGGGTTGAGTAGAACCTTCATTTCCGATTCATCAGCAGCTGTAAGAGCCGCGTAATTGTGGCATAGCTGCCACAGTTTCGTTCATCAATGATTCGGGGGGGGGGGTAGGCAGCTCCACATTGGAGACGGGTGATATAATTGATGCGTAAATGCAGGGTTGTCAGTTGACTTTTAGTTGAGGAGACTGAAAGAGGAAGCAATAGCTTGGAAGCACGAGCACCATTTAAGGCGCGACTGGGCCGTGTCTGAAAAAGGTTTCTAACCATTTATGTGGCCCATCTCGGGATCCCCATCCAGGAAGCCGGTAAGGACCAGCGCAGCTGAGTTTGACTGATACAGCTGTCCAGGTAAACAAATTTTTCTACTACCTCAATCTGTCCGCCCGCAAGCATGAGGCTAGGGTTCGAGCTCACCCAGTCTTGCAGTAGCCCTTTACACCTTTCAAGTGTGAAGCGCGGAATTATTTAGACTGTTTAACATTTGTTTGCATTACCACGGGACCAGATCCAAGAGGAGCCATGTCGTCCGCGTACTCGATATCTGTGAGCGGACTCCCCGGGATCACTTCGACCCCACAGGCATTAGAAGCTGATAGTGAGTCCTCCATGATCGCATCAATGACAAAGTTGAAGAGGAAAGGTGAAAGAGCACAGCCCTGTCGGACACCACTTGATGTGGTGAACTTAGGCGAGAGCTTCCCGTAGACCTTCACACGTCCGCAGAAGTTGGCGTGCAGCGCCTTAAGGAGGGTCAAGAATTTATGAGAAAAACCCTTCCTGCATAGACACTGTCATAAAGCTTGACGGTCCACAGAGTCAAAGGCAGCTCTCAGATCAAGAAGCACAACCATTGTTGGTTGCTGGGAGCAGTATCGCTGTTCCAGAACCTGTCGGAGGATGAAGATATAATCAATGCAACCTTTTGCAGGACGGAACCCAGCTTGATTTTCACGGATCTGTCTCTCCCTGTGTTCACTCAACATTCGAAGGATAAGGTCAGAGGGGACATTCGATGCCACAGCTACCAGACTGATGCCTTGATGGTATTCACATATCGTCTGTGTAACCCTTTTGAAGATAGGAATAACGGTCGATATACACCATTCTGCAGGCACTTTCTCTTCATTCTATATAGTGCTAATAAGCATTGTCAGATAGTTTACCAGGGATTTTCCGCCTTCTTTGAAGAGGGTTGGATACAGACCGTCCTGTCCTGGTGCCTTCTCACGTTTCAGTACGGATATTTCATATCTTATTTGGTCTTCCGACAGGCGACCAAAGTTTACATTCCATTCGCCCGTAAGCATTATCTCCACCGGCTGTGTTGCAGGAGGCCAGCTGAACCGTTCGTCGAAGTGTTCGGCCCATCTTCCCAGTCGACGCTTTTGCGAATGAATTAATGAACCATCTATTTTACGCTAACGGTTGCTTTCCTAGGGCCAGTTGATCGTATCAGTTGATATGGAGCATGGCTGTTTTCCTTAGCAAAAGCCTTCTTCATCTCCCGGGCTTTCAATGTCCACCAGAGCTCTCGGCTTTTCCGTAGGCTCTTCACTATTTGGTGTTTGAGGGATTTGCGCGCTCCGCTGTATTCGCTGGCTGCAAGTATCGACTTCCTGGCATCAATCATGCACAGCGATCTCGACGACATCCAGTGGTCTTGTGGTCGAATCGGAGAAGTCAGACAGACAGCAATGAACACCGCCAGCACAACTCCTTTCACATTTTGCCGTGTTTCATCCACGTGCTCACTACCAGTACGGTGCTAGTTTACTGTGGAAGGAGGTTGGGCTAGCTCAGATCGAAATTGTTGAGCTATGATAGTTCTTTGAAGATGGTGGTTTAGCATCCTTGCTGACTTGCGAGGGCCTGAGGAGAGACGATCGCGCAACCTGCATACTCCACTCGGTGCATGTAATGCGTACGTTCAAACCGGGGTGGTAAGTTCTCAGACCACCAACTAGCTGAGCGACTTGATAGTTTTGTTTCGGTTGATGTTATGTGCCTTCCCTGTCCAGCTGCGATAATGTGCACGTGGGTTTTTCACGTGGATTTTAGAGTGTTCAGTAAATCGCATTCTAATTCGCGTGAATGCGCACATTGATCGGTGAGAACCAGAGATTCAGTCGAAATGGGTTTTCAGTGTTGTCCAACCTGCTGCGCAGTGGTTTAGCTTGGCCAGTATCCAGTATTCCTTCTTAAATAATACGACATTTATGATTTGTACCCGTCGTTATTGTGAAGGGTGTGTGGAACCCGGTCTTCCAAAAAGCAGCCTGCTAGGAGGTCATTCGAGGATATGTAGTACACTACTTATAGGGTTGCTGGCAACTCTTCTGCAGCCCACTACTAGTTTCGTCGTTCCTGGAACCCAGCAGATAGGCATGGTCTCCGATTCTCCATCCACTTTATGTTCTACTTGAGTAGTGGGCTATCGAATAGTCTTCACCAACCCTGCAAGTAGTGTGTTATCTGTAAAATATACTTCGACACCGTACCAACTTAAACACTCGATGGCCCTTCTACAGCACGTTCAGTTGAAGAACACCATAAGCAGAAAATTCAGCTTGGATTTAGCTGAGTCTCCTGTCAACCCCAACTTAATTTGCGAATCGCCAACATCCAAAGGTGAGGAAGTGGAGTAGGTAACTCGGTCGCACTTTAGCAATATAAGGGAACTGTTGACTTTAAGGATCCAGCTGACGTATAAATTTTAATGGCACAAAACAGCCACCGGCGTAAACCTCATCTTTGGACAGCCTACCGTCATCAATCCAGACGTGTGAGAGCGTACGGAGAGCTCTCCAAAAGCTTCC